CCTGTTGTTAAACACCTGAACCATATGAACTTCCTGTTGTTAAACACCTGAACATATGAACTTCCTGTTGTTTCAGACCTGAACTACATTTATCTCAAAACATTAAAGAACAAAGTAAAAACACAGAAGAGGATCAACAGGAAAGCGGTGAGAGATTTTTTTTTAACTTAGATGAGGTTTCTCATCGTGCGTTGAGGCTGAATCAGAATCTCATATATTTACTCTAATAAAGACATCAAACCTTATTTGTGATTCTAAAAAAACAATTTAAACATTAATCCCCATCTAAAATTAACCACAGAAAATGTTTTGATTTAAATCAATATTCAATGATTGTCCTAACCGAGTCCTGGTGTGTGATCATGTGATTGCTGTGACATCACGCAGGGCGTTGTGATGTCAGAGGAGCAGCTGAAGAACACCCTCCTGCAGCTGGAGGAGGAGCCTCTAGACGAGTTCAGACAGGCTGATGTGTTGGGTAATGTCCAGCGAAATGTGAAATGTCCAGCCATTATTTTAAACGTTTCTTTTAATAGTTTGAGAGTTTCAGGCTGCAGTCGCCGATGAAGATTTTCATTCAAACTTTTTATTCTTTCTTCCACATGTAGGCCAGAAAAGTCTGACATGTTTATGTTTAGGACAGAGCACATTCATGAACCTTACAGTCAATGTAGCGCTTGGCTACATGCTGTTTTCCTTTTGTCGTCTTTGGACAGAAAATAACCCTAAAAACAAAATGATTACATCAAATTTACATTCAATTCAGTTTATTTATGTAGCGCCAAATCACAACAAAATTGTCTCAGGGCACTTTACAGGAACATTCACATACATAGAAAAGCCCATTAGTAAAGTTCTCCATCTAAGGAATCAGCAGACGAGTTGAATCTTCACTTCGTCACAGTCTCCCATCCTGAGCAAGCACAGTGGTAACAGTGGAAAGTAAAAACTCCCTTTTTAAAGGAAGAAACCTCCAGCAGAACCAGGCTCAGGACAAGAGGCCATCTACTTTGACCGGTTGGTTGAGAGGACAGGAAGGAGAGACAGACGAACACAGAATGGTAGGTCCAGATGTAGATGCAGGTGAACCTGAAAGACAAAAACATGTTAAAGATAGAAAAATAATTACAAATACAAAAAAAAGTTGTGTAGAACAAAGTCCATGCTCAATAATCCAGGATTACAATCCAACATTTTTCAGTCAGGTCATCTGGACAGTTTCTTTTTTTTTTTGTGCTGAAACGTTTCACCTTCAATCCAGAAGGCTTCATCAGTCAAGGAAACGCACAACAAAACTGATTCTTCCCCCAACAGTTTACTCCAAAGTGGAACAAACCAGTTATGTTGGTGCTAAGATGGTGTCTTTGTCATGCCCCCTCCTCCATTGCCGGCCCTCTTCCTTGTTGACAGTCTTGTCAAACTGGTTGAAAACAACAAAGTCCATGCTCAATAATCCAGGATTACAATCCAACATTGTGTAATCCAAATTTGTGTAGCGTAAGTAAAGAGTAGTATAGTGAAGAAACGTGGTCAGTTTGTCCTCCAGCAGTCTAAGCCTGTAGCAGCATAACTAAGGGACAGCTCAGGAAACCCAAGCCGACCCTAACTATAGGATTTATCAAAAAGGAAAGTCTTAAGCCCAGTCTTAAAACTGGACAATGTGTCAGCCTCACGGACAGAAATTGGAAGTTGGTTTCACAAGAGAGGAGCCTGATAACTGAAAGATCTTCCTGCTTTTAGAAACTCTAGGAACCGCAAGTAAACCTGCAGTCTGAGAGCGAAGTGGTCTGTTAAGAAAATATGGAACAATAAGATCTGTAATATAAGATGGAGCTACGTTGTTGAGAGCTTTGTAGGTTAGAAGTAAGATTTTGAATTCTATTCTGGATTTGACAGGGAGCCAATGGAGAGAAGCTAAAACTGGAGAGATATGATCTCTCCCAGTAACTCCAGTTAAGACTCTGGCAGCAGCATTTTGGATCAACTGAAGACGTTTTAAAGAAGTATTTGGACACCCAGATAATAAACCATTGCAATAGTCCAGTCTAGACGTGACAAATGCATGGACCAGTTTTGAAATTGACCTTAATTATTCAGCCGTTTTAATCAAAACACTACAATTGAGATTCAACCCCTAAACCTGCAGAACCCTGCCACATGTTTACATTCATCCCATCATCGATCCATTTATTTATCATTCATACATACGTAGATAGATACATGCATACATGCCGTATTTTCCGCCGTGCGCGTCGCTCTGCCCTATAAATTGCATCAGTCCATATTTGTCTCAAAAAGTGGGAAAATCCATAAATACGTTGCTTCGCCGTATACATCGCATCTGTTATGTGTCACCGCTGACAACCCGGAAATGTGGGCTGATGATGTGCCAAAGATTGATGGGCTGCCAAATGGCGGCCGCATGAGTGTTCACAGGAGGACTTTAACAAGAATTTAACAAGATAAACACTTAAAAACAATTATTTGTTTGCTCAAAATTTCAAACCGGATTCCAAAAAAGTTGGGACACTAAACAAATTGTGAATAAAAACTGAATGCAATGATGTGGAGGTGCCAACATCTAATATTTTATTCAGAATAGAACACAAATCACAGATCAAAAGTTTAAACTGAGAGAATGTATCATTTTAAGGGAAAAATCTGTTGTTTCCAAATTTCATGGCGTCAACAAATCCCAAAAAAGTTGGGACAAGTCCATTTTTACCACTGTGTGGCATCCCCCCTTCTTCTTCCAACACTCAACAGACGTCTGGGGACAGAGGAGACCAGTTTCTCAAGTTTAGAAATAGGAATGCTCTCCCATTCATGTCTAATACAGGCCTCTAACTGTTCAATCGTCTTGGGCCTTCTTTGTGGCACCTTCCTCTTTATGATGCACCAAATGTTCTCTATAGGTGAAAGATCTGGACTGCAGTCTGGCCATTTCAGTACCCGGATCCTTCTCCTACGTAGCCATGATGTTGTGATTGCTGCAGAATGTGGTCTGGCATTATCGTGTTGAAAAATGCAGGGTCTTCCCTGAAAGAGATGACGTCTAGATGGGAGCATATGTTGTTCTAAAATCTGAACATAGTTCTCTGCATTAATGGTGCCTTTCCAGACATGCAAGCTGCCCATGCCACAAGCGCTCATGCAACCCCATACCATCAGTGATGCAGGCTTCTGAACGGAGCGTTGATAACAACTTGGGCTATCCTTGTCCTCTCTGGTCCGGATGACATGGCGTCCCATTGTTCCATAAAGAACTTCAAATCGTGACTCATCTGACCACAGAACATTCTTCCATTTTGCCACACTCCATTTTAAATGACCCCTGGCCCAGTGCAAACGTCTGAGCTTGTGGAGCTTGCTTAGAAATGGCTTCCTCTTTGCACTGTAGAGTTTCAGCTGGCAACGGCGGATGGCACGGTGGATTGTGTTCACTGACAATGCTTTCTGGAAGTATTCCTGAGCCCATTCTGTTATTTCCTTGACAGTGGCATTCCTGTTTGAGGTGCAGTGACGTTTAAGGGCCCGGAGATCACGAGCATCCAGTAGAGTTTTACGGCCTTGACCCTTACACACAGCGATTGTTCCAGATTCTCTGAATCTTTTGATGATGCTATGCATGGTTGATGATGATAACTTAAAAGTCTTTGCTATTTTACACTGGGTAACACCATTCTGGTATTGATGCACTATCTTTCTGCGCAACAATGGTGGAATTGGTGATCCTCTTACCATCTTGGCTTCTGAGAGACACTGACACTCTGAGAAGCTCTTTTTATACCCAATCATGTTGTCCATTGACCTAATTAGTGTTAATTGGTCTTCCAGCTGTTCGTTATATGCTCAATTTCCTTTTTCCAGCCACTTATTGCTACTTGTCCCAACTTTTTTAGGATTTGTTGACACTGTGAAATTTTGAATCAACATATTTTCCCTTTAAAATGTTACATTTACTCAGATTAAAGTTTTGATCTGTCATCTACGTTCTATTACGAATAAAATGTTGACATTTGCCATCTCCACATCATTGCATTCCGTTTTTATTCACAATTTGTTTAGTATCCCAACTTTTTTGTAATCCGGTTTGTATATTAAAGCTGTGTCTCAGTCTAACTTTTGCTTAATAAATGAACTTTAACGGACAAATCAGCTGCATTCGCTGCCTTTGTGCTCCGGGAGCGCGCAGTTGGAGGAAAAAAAGGAAGGACGAATGCTGCTCGTTTCTTCTAAATTTAACAAGAATAGCACTTAAAACAATTATTTGTTTGCTCGAAATTATAGTAAAGGTGTGTCTCAATTGAACTTTTACTTAATAAATGCACTTTAATGGTCAAATTAGCTGCATTTTGCTGGGGAGGTGCAGCTGATTTGACGGTTCCAAGCAGCGAACAGAATGAAGGTGGGGTCTACGGCAAGCCACTTGTGTCATTAATAGCTGATGAAGATTCTCAGTCATCCAGGACTTGGTCAATTAAAAAAAAAGTTAAAGAAAAAAACAAAGTATAATAAATAAAGTCCAGTTGTTTTTGTATTGAACTTTTTTGAATTTGTCATTATAGCCACATTTACCTATTACATGATACAACTGCATGCCATACAGCTACTACTACTCTGCTGCCATCACGTGGCTGAAAGTGGTACTGCTGTTTTTTTCCAGTCAGAATGAATGAAAACCGTCATCTCTCTCTGCCAACAATAGGTTTATAAATATGGGAAAATATCCATAAATATGTCGCTTCAGCCTATAAGTCATAGGACATGTAAATTATGCAAAAAACTACGATTTATAGGAAGAAAAATACAGTGCATACATACATCCTTCATCCTGCATCTATCCATCCATTTATCCATTCATCATCTGTGCATCCTTCCTTCCATCTATTTATCCATTCATCAATTATCCATCCATCCTTTCATTATCCATTAATCATTATCCATTTATCAATTATCCATCCATCCATTAATCATCCTTCCATCCATACCCATGTCATCTTTCCATCCATCATCCATCTGTCCATCAGTTATTGGACCTCCTGGTGTGTGACGTTCAGTAAAATTAGGATAGGTTTGAATGTTTGCGGTTTTTGTTGAGCATCTTGAGTCTGTTCTGCTGATTCATGTGGGGACGACTTTTTGACAGGTGGAGACGACAACATCTCAGACAATGAAGTGTTTCCTGAATGCAATCCAGCTGAGTTTGTTGGAGGACCGGACTTTATCTCGTCAGGTAAAACTCAGACTCAAACAAGAAGTCAGATGTTCTATTTCGTATAGGCTTCGCCCTTTAAGAGCTTTCGCTTAGTGGGTTTATCCCGTTATGCAGAGCATTAGCACTGAAAAATTTAGTCCACGCCCACCTGCTGTGTGGGCCCCACCCGGTCCGTATAAATTACGTTAAGAGCGGAAAATCGGCTCCCATTTTTTCTTCAGCGAGCTAAAATAGCACTGTCAGAAGAACAAAGAAGGAAAATTGTGTAGATGACCAATCTTTGTTAAGGATGCTTGGCCCGGCAGTCGACCTCCGGTCGTCCGGTGAGTTCTCCTCCATGAGGAGAAGCTGACGAGCAGTCTTATTTCAAGGTAAGCGCCGAGGAATATTTCCCAGTACACGCTGGACAACGCCATCTTGTATTTTTCCTCTTATCGCCGACCCTCGGAGCGAATCGGATGGTTCCTCCGGGACAGGCGTGCTCAGCTGCAGCCCCCGCTGCTCATTCCCTCCTGGGGAGCGTAGTGTCGGTGGAGGGGGGCTGAGTGAATGCTCACCCCATCCCACCTCGTTTCGCATCGGCGATCACACCGCTCCCAGCCGACGACGCCCTCAGGGGTTGCCCGGCGTAACCTAGGAGGCGGCTGACATGAAAGGACCCTTTTTTACGTCCTACGCCTTTCCCGCCAGTTCGGATGATCCGGCGGGAAGGTTGTTTACTGGGCTCCATTCCGGCTCACCATCTTGATCCATATGGCCTCGTGCTCCCAACAGGACGTCCTACAGGCGAGGCCACAGACGGGTTCTTTCCTGGTAGATTGGGGGAGCCGGTCTCCACAGTCCGCACCCATCTCCAGAGCAGGGGTTCACTGAGCGGAAAGTCCCTCCGTGCCCTCTGGAGCCGAGCCTGATGGAGGCTTCATTGGAGTAAGATGTTCAAGGTGGACCAGCGTCTCGTGCCTCCGGTTAGCATAACCGAGACGGTGACACCACTCTCCAACTGAGCTCACCAGCATGTGTTCCATACGGCCGCAGCGAACAACACGTTACGCTGTTGGTGTACACGTTCAGGGGCGGGAAGAGACGGTGGCCCTCTGTCCTTCGGCTCACTCCGCTCTCGTAGCGGCTGCTTGCTAACGACGCTGCCAGCCCCTGCAGTACGCTCAGTCTACAGGTCAGCTGACGTCATCCTCAACCGATGCGCCTCTTTTGCTGTCTGCCGCCCCGCATCGCAGCCGGAGAACGAGGTCCCAGAGTTTCTCCTAGCTCGTCACTCCACCTTCCTCTCAGGAGAGATGCAGGAGTCTGTTGGTGATCCTCTCTTCATCAGCGAGAGATCATTTCAAGATGCTCCACAGCTGCTCCACGGCTGCTCAACGCCTCCCCAGCTCTGCTACGCCAGCCCCTCCCGTCAGACGTCCCCGGCAGCCGGAAGTTCATTTGTTTTCCCGGACTTCGCCAACAGGGGGCCCTCCAAGACAACAAACAGAGCTCAACGGAAGGTAACTAGGTGTCCGGTCGCTGGAGGTGTGTTGATGACACTGTGAAATAACATAATTTTATGATGAAGTGTCTCAGGCTGTCAGCATGGTTTATCTGACAAGCGGCTCCATCACACACACTCATCACGAATGAGCCTTTTTAAGGTTGTTTTCATTCACTGCCAGCGGTGCCGATGCGCGCCCCCGCGGCATGAAAGCGCGCACGCAGCTCTCAGCGCCCACCGTTCTCGTCAACGTTCACGTGAGACCACGGTACGAGCTCAGCAACGCATCTCGCTCCCGGCAGAAGTGACACACGTTTTGTCATTGCAGTGGTGTCAAACGCGCGCTCCCGCGGCGTTAGCAGTTTCACAAGCCTCACAGCGGCTCTGCTCCTTTATCCTCGAAGAAGGTTTTCTGAATTAATACTGCAGCTCGTGGAATCATTCTGAAGTTCACTGACTTGCAGCCAAGAATGATCTTTTTTCTGCAGACCGAGCCAGGGGTAGCCTCGCTTCACCGATGCCGCGTGCTGCTTCCTGACCGCACCAGTGCCAACGCGCACTCCCGCGGCGTCAGCAGCCCCACAAGCCTCACAGCGGCTCAGCTCATACATCCTCGAAGAAGGGGTTTTGTCTGAATTAATATTGCAGCTCGTGGAATCACTCAAAAGCTCACGTGACTCGCAGCAAACAATGAACGTGTTTCTGCAGACCGAGCCAGTGGTAACTCAGCTCCACCGATGGCGCGTGGTGCCTCCTTACCGCACCAGTGCTAACACGCGCCCCCGCGGCAATCCTGGCTTAAAGCGTTGCATGAGGACGCACACACACGACCCTTCAGGGCGCGTCGGCTCATATGTGCACCCGCTTCCGAGTGTTACACGGAGCAGCAGCACACAAGGTGAACACAACGTGAACACAACACATGAATTGTTTTCCCACAGCAACACAACGTCTTGCATCCTCGGGGACGCGCGTGGGTTTTTTTCTCTCTCACTCAGCGCGCTCCAGTTCACATCAGCATGTATGTGAGTTTCACAGCATAAATGCGTGCCCGCTTTATAGCTTATAAACGTGTGGCAATGAACGCGCGCCTCCAGACGGATGGGCGAACCGTTTTCATCCGGGATTCACGCTGCAGTTCAGCTCAAACCCCGGTGTGGAGGAACTCTGTGACGTTTTTTCTGTCATTTATGAACAGATCTCGTCCCCTCTAGTAGAAGCTCAGGAAATTATTTTTTAAATGTAATTTCTAGAATCTCAGATGGAGAGGAAACGCAAGGTCTCTCTCATCACTTCCTGGTCCCAATGAACCGGAAAGATGAGATTTATTCTAGATTGTCAATTTCTGAGCTGTGAGAAACAACACCACATTATGCGCTCAAGCCGCTTTAATTCTGCGTTATCTGGACACCTGCGGCTGCTGAGCAGCTTGTACAGACAGGGGGCAGCAGTGCAACTCACGTGAACCGGTTGAGTGATATCAGCTGTTTTCCGTCAGCAGATCTACGTCACACACATTTAATAAGCTGTGGAGCCGCTGTGGCTCTCCACACAGCAGCCTTTTAAATGTTTTTGGAGTGTCGCACGGGATCTTTGAATGTGACTCAACACTGACCTTGAGCTGCAGAATCATCGGGGTTTTTGATTCTCAGACAGCAAGTGACTGTTGCATACATACTAGCAGGAAATGTATGCATTTTTCAACCCATGTGCCACATTGTGAGACAGATGCTGTGTGGGACACATCCAATCTGTTCTCCATTGGAGTGGGTACATCTCATGTATTCCACCCAGAACTAGGACTCAGACACGGTAGAATCCTGCCAGCGTCTGCGGACGTGTAGCAACACAAGAGAACGCTCAATGTCAATTATAATTATCGTGGAGCCATAGGACGATCCACCGCTGGGTGGACGTGCCTGCTCACAGCCTGTGGTCGTAATGCCTTTCACCTTGTTCTCTCCCTTTGGTATCACGGTTTTCTGAACCGAGCTCAGGAGGAGGGATTGGCAACTCCTCTGCCCCAAGTGCGTGAACGCATCATGGTTCCCAGGCCTACGATATTTGTTATCTGGGCGCTCGTGGAACCTGCCGTGGAGGGGGGACGCTTCCCTCCAGGCGGGAGGAACGATCAGGAATTAATCAGAATAGGCCAGCACCTGTGGTTTGGCCGCTGTGCAGATCTTTGAGAGGATGGATCTCTCGCAAGATGTAGTGCGTACGATTCAGGAGTCACATGCTGCATCCACCACAGCGCTGTTCACATCAAGTGGTCAGTTTTCCAACGCTGCTGTACAGAAAGGCGTAGAGGCCACTTCATGTCCACTGGACAACATGCTGTCTTTCTACAGCAGCCGAGGGACAGAAATCTGGTGTCCAGCACGACTATTGTATGCTGCAACCGTGTTTTTCTTTTTGTCTCAAAGTTGTCGTAGACAGAACAACCTTTAATCATCCTCTGACGGAGCATTTTCTCTCAGATTGATATAGCGGCTGTGGGCCTGTTGTGACACGGGAAACGCTCAGTGTCAATTATGCGCTTCTCTGAGCCCATGAGACGAACCACCGCTGGGGGGTGGATGCGTTTGTCCACAGTCCATGGCCCAAAATGCTTCTGTACGCGTTTTTCTCCACCTCCTCTGATCTTACGGTTCTTGAACCGAGCTCAGGAGGAGGGATTGACAGCTCTCCTGGTGGCCCCAAGCACGTGGGTGCACCATGGTTCCCAGCCCTGACACGCCTGCTGTCGGGGTGCCCGTGAAAACTGTCGTAGAGGGAGGACGCTCTCCTTCCAGGCAGGAGGAGCGACCAGGAGTTACCCAGAAATAGGCCAGCACATGTGGGTCTGGCTGTTGAACGAATCCACTTAGAGAGGATAGGTTGCCCACAGGATGTAATGCGCACAATTCAGGTTTCTCGTGGTGCATCTACCACAGCGATGTACACATCAAAGCGGACAGCTTTTCAGTGCTGATGTACAGAGAAGGGTGTAGAGGCCTCCTCATGTTCTTTAGGTGGCATGCTGTTCTTTCTGCAACAGCTGATGGACAGACATTTGCATCCAGCACGTTTAAAACGTACGCTGCAGCCATCTCTTCCTGACATGAAGGTTTCTGAGACAGAACATGTTTTATCATCCGCTGATGAAACGTTTTCTAAAGGTGTACAGAGACGCAGGCCTGTCTCACACCCACTTGTTTCCAGTGGGATTTAATACTGGTCCTGCAGGTCATGATCAAAGCTTCATTTGAGTCTTTGGATCAGGTTCCACTTAAATTCTTGTCTCTTTAAACAGCCCTGCTGCTGGCTTTAACATCCGCTAAGAGAGTGAGTGTTTTTATCTGCCCTCTCTGTTGCTCCGTCATGTCTCAGAAATTAGGCTGACGGCAGCTCAGCTGATTTTAGATCAACCCAGCTTTTATGCCTAATACATCACGAGCTCTTTTTTAATCAAGAGCGATATCGTTGGAGGGGCCACACACACACACACACACACACAGATCAGAAGAAGTAATGTCTTTTTATCTCTTCTGTCCTGTGCGGGCATTGCCATGTTACATAGCATGCACAGCTACAATGCGTCAACATTTGTTTGTGCATTTTAGAGATGCACCTGCAGGTCACCCGTTATCCACCCAGCGCTTGTCACACTGGCTGTGTGAGGCCATTTATGAAGCCTACAGAGCATCAGAATTAGAGTCTCCTGTCAACCTCAGAGCACACTATCAGGGGTATCGCTTTTTCGACTGCTTTGCATAATGGTATGTCAATGCAGGATATTTTGCACTGTGGCCGCGTGGTCAACACCCTGCTCATTTATTCGCCTTTATTTAGGTGATGTGACGGCCTGTTCCATGACACATTCTGTCCTTAGTGTTTACAGAATGAATATTGTTGTTTCATGGAACTCCGTTTTACTCACATCTGTCTGCATGCATTACAGTGTGAGATGTTATCAGTCACAAGTTGTGACTGTTATTTGATTCTATTGTCATTAATCAGTTCACGACTATTGTTACCAATCAGTTCATCTGATTAATAATCAACTCTCTTGTTATTATTAATCTGTTCATACGGTTCAGCCGTAAACCGGTTGGTTCATGGCTCTTTTCAGTGTTTTTCCCTCCCCGTTGATGTTTCCGGGGCGTTCATGCATTCAGAATGCATAGTTACACAACATGCGTCTGTGCATGGCACACATAATTACGCAATGCGTAATTACGCACATGGGAGCTGAGTGATTAGACTTTTTTGGGCAAGCTTCTGCTTCATACGGTGTTCGAATGGACCCAGTGAGGCGAGGACCACATCTGCTTTGCCCTTAACCCACTAAGCGAAAGCTCTTAAAGGGCGAAGCCTATACGAAATAGAACGTTGGTTACGTACTGTAACCCCAGATTCTATGAGTATAGGCATAGCCCTTTAAGCGTCGGGCCTCACTGGCTCCTGAATGGCTGAAGAAAAAAGCTATTTTGGGAGCCGATTTCCCGCTCTTAACGTAATTTATACGGACCGGGTGGGGCCCACACAGCAGGTGGGCGTGGACTAAATTTTTCAGTGCTAATGCTGCGCATAACGGGATAAACCCACTAAGCGAAAGCTCTTAAAGGGCTACGCTTATACTCATAGAATCTGGGGTTACAGTTCGTAACCAACGTTTCTAAAGGCTGATTTATACTCTGCATGATGTTAAGAAATCTGTTCTCACTGACATCGTCGTGTGATGAAAGTTACGTCGTTTTGTTTTGGCACAAGCTCCAGGCGGAACGTTTTCCCCTCAGGTGTACAGTATGTGCTAAGTATTGTGTGATTGGTCTGGACTTGTGGGTTTTTTTATGTGGGGGGAAAACTGCACTGCTCGTATTTCTGTTTGTGTGTGATGGACGCTACATTAGTAGGACAGTGGGAGGAGCTTGCCAGGACTTCTCCATAGTTTTTTTTCCCCAGTTTCTCGACCATGTGAGCGAGAACAACTTTCTTGCTGCACGTGAAGTGTGAGTTGTAGTTAAAGGACTATGGTGCATTTGAGTGAAACTGGATCTTTAATGTCCTTATTGTCTGCAGAAGCTCACAAAGATGATCTCCCATATGAAGAACTGGTGAAGCTCTGTGTGGTGAGTGAGAGTAACATTTGAATTCCTCTGCTTTCATCTTTTCTTGTCTTGAGTGATTTTAAATTGTCTCTGTGTTGGTGTGGCGTTCAGGAGCAGCTGGTGGTCAGCAGTCAGGGTTACACTCAGGAGACTGCTATGTCCCGCAGAGTCAAAGACTGGAAGGACCAGATTTTGCCCGAGCTGCAGCTTCAGGTCAGACTGGGAACCAGTTCAGAGTGTTTCCACCTGAGCTCAGACTCTAAACCTGACTTCCTGTTGGTGTTTCAGGAGGAGCGTCTGCCACTTGACATCCACGAATACAGCGAGCGAATCGTGACAGCGCTGGGCAGCGTCGGCCGTCGCAGGACCTTCGCCTCCATCGTTTCGGGTTTTGATCACTTCGAGGTCTGCAAGTACTTGCTGGCTTCACTGCAGCTGGTACATCCGAATCTCTGGATCCATTCAAGTTTTTATCTTAAATGTTTCATGTATCTCACTTCATGTGCAGCCCCAGAAAATCACTCAGAGCTTATTGATCACTTACTGACCTCAGGTCTGTGGTCTCTGCAGGCCAATGACTACATAGTGGAGCTCCACGCCGCTGCAGGATTGGAGGACAGTTTGGACACCATGTCTCTGACACTGCTCAGCACGTACAGAGCTACAGACCGATTTAAAGCGCTGTCAACATCCTCCTGAACGCAGCACGAGTCGTATTATCATCAGAAACCCTGACGCCACCTGAACGCAGCACGAGTCTGATGATCAGATCAAGAGTGTGATGATGAGAACGAGTAGTTGTGTGGACATTTTGGGTAAAACCAGTAGACTATTAAATTTTTAAAAACTATGTTTGAGTTATTCCTTTCAACATCTACATGAATATTGAAATCCTCCATTATTATGACTTTGTCATTATTCAATGATAAGTCAGATAAAAAAAATCAGAGAATTCAGACAAAAACTGAGTAGAAGGGCCTGAACGATGATAACGACTAGTAAAAGTGGCTTTCCTGATTTCTATTTTGGATGAGAAAGACTGATTCAAAAGAATCATAGCTAATAACTGGTTTAGCATTAATCAATAATCCTGACTGAAAAATAGAAGCTACTCCTCCACCTCGGCCAGTTGTTCTAGGAACATATAAATTTCAATAATTAACAGGAGTAGATTCATTTAAACTAACAAAATCCTCCTGTTGTAGCCAAGTTTCTGTCAGACAGAATAAATCAATATGATGATCAGTTATCAGTTCATTAACTAACAGGGATTTAGATGAAAGAGATCTGATGTTCAATAATCCACATTTAATGATTTCATGATTTTGTTCTGGTAAAGTAACTGTTTATTTTAATAAGGTCTTCATGATTTATAATAGGAATTTTAAAACTTTTTATTGTAACCTTTATTTATACAGGTAGTCTCATTGAGTCACAAGGTAGTGTCAGCAAAGGTCAAAGGAAAGGTTCACAAGAAAGTGGTGACCAGCTATGTTGTACGGTCTGGAGACAGAAACATGGACAAAAAGACAGGAGACAGAACTGGAAGTGGCAGAAATGAAGATGTTGAGGTTCTCCTTAGGAGTGAAGGATGGAGAAGATTAGGAATGAGATCATCAGAGGTACAGCACAGGTTGAACAACTGGTAAATAAAGTTAGAGGCCAGTCTGAGATGGTTTGGACATGTCCAGAGGAGGGACAGTGGGTATATTGGTAGAAGGATGTTAGAAATGCAGCTTCCAGGAAAAATACAAAAAGGAGATACATGGATACATTTAGAGAGGACATGGAGGTAGTTGGAGTGAGGGGAGTGAGGACAGAGAGGTGGAGGATGACGACTCTGGAGACCCCTGAAGAGGTAAAAGCTGAAAGAAGAAGAGTCCGGCCATGCTCTACTCATCAACAAGTCGCTGTGGAGGTGGTCAACAGCATCAGGGGTTTAGTTTTTTTTAATCAGTCTTTATTGAACTTTTTTTTTTAGAATACACACAAAACAGAAGAAAATATCAACATCCCCACCCACACTGGATCAGCCGCACAGACACGAGCATATTAAACGAACTGACATATTTTGAACATAGGATACAAATGGCTGCCAAGAGTGTAATGTTTCGTATTTGTCTTAATAAAGATAATCGACACGCTTCATGAGCCCGGGTCTGTTTAATGCATACCCGTAACATGTACACTCTCCCCTTACGTCACATCCTGTCTACTATATGGCAAGCCCATGAGGACAATAATTATGACGGTTTACAATACAACATTGTAAATACAACATCTCCCTTTTTTTTTTTTTTTTTTTTTTTTGACGCCACATGTCCTCATTGAACTGGTACACATATTGAATATATTGTCACATGAAAATTATGTTGCAGTAAACAACATGTCAGACTTGTAAACATCATTTTACATTCACATTGCACATATTTTCATGTAAACATAATTTTACGTAAACATCGTTTCACGTGGATATCATTTCACATAAACATCATTTTACATTCACATATTTTTCATGTAAACATCATTTTACGTAAACATTTCACGTCATCCCACGTGAATATTTCATGTAAACATTCCATCATTTCACTTTTTTTTTTTTTTTTTTTTTTTTTAGGGCAGCGATCCGCCTGCACCCTTTACAATCATAAGTCAAGAACTGTTCTTGGCCTGACCACTCGTCCTGATCTTGTGGTCAGTATGGGGCTGTTATTTTTGGTTTGTGACTCAGAGTCAGATGAAAGCTGTGACTGTCTGTTGTTGAGCTGCCTTTTCATGCTGAGCTCCTGGATCAGTTGTCGGTGTTGAAGGTGCTGATGGACGTTTTGTGTCCCTCAAGTGTTGCCGGTTGCGTCGTAGGGTCTGTCCCTCACTGGTGCGGATGATGAAAGAGCGATCCGTCTCTGCAGGTTGGAAACCAGCTGTGATTGTAGTATCACTTCTGGTGTTCTTGTTTTTCCTTCCTTTTAGCCTGTACCGCCGCCTGACTTACGGTGCGTGGCTTTAGTTGATTTCTGGTGACTGGAAGCACTGATCGCAGACGTCGGCTCATCAGAAGCTGGGCTGGTGATTTAAAGTCATCAACTGGCGTGTTCCTGTGCTCTAGAAGAGACAGGTAGGGATCTACCCTCTGGGCATGAGCCTTATCCAGAACTGATTTGGCTGTTCTGACTGTTCTCTCAGCAAGACCATTGCTCTGTGGGTACAAGGGGCTTGATGTTGTGTGCACAAAGTCCCATGTGTCTGCAAAGCTTTTGAACTCTTGTGAGCTGTACTGTGGCCCATATCAGAAATAAACTTTTCTGGTATCCCGTGTCTAGCAAATATAGGTTTGAGTTTTGCGATGACTGCTCCTGCAGTGGTGGATGTCAATCCTTCCAGCTCAAAATAACGACTGTAATAGTCCACAACTATGAGGTATTCTTTTCCATGCCAGGTGAACAGGTCTGAGGCTACGACCTGCCATGGTCTCTCTGGGATTTGGTGTGAGATGAGGGGTTCTTTTGGATTTGACACACGTCTCTCCTGACATATGGAACAGTTTTCCACTTTGGAGGCGATTTCTTTGCCCATCCCTGGCCAGAAAAGGGCATCCCGTGCTCTCTGTTTACTCCTCTCAATCCCCATGTGTCCAGTGTGGATTTTTTCCAGCATGTTGCCTCTCAGGGTTGCCGGCACAATGATTTTGTCACCTTTAAAGATGATGCCATCATAGTGTGAAATTTCATCTCTGAAATTCCAGAAATCCAGTAGTGCTGTGGGACTTTTTTTTTTGTCCTCAGGCCAGCCAGCATGTACAGTTTGCTTTAACTGGATGAGCTGTGGGTCGTTTGCCGTAGCAGCTCGTATCTCTGAAAGCTTTCTGTCACTTACTGGTAGGCTGTTCAACACTGAATGGACCTGGTCCTCCATGCCTTCACTCAACGTGCTGTCTAAGTCAGGCAGGGGCTTCCTGGACAGGGTGTCGGCCACAGGTATGTCTTTTCCCGGGCGGTGCACAATCTCAAGGTCATACCTTTGTAGCTGAAGAAGCATGCGTTGCAGACGCGCTGGGGACATAGTGATTGGTTTTTTCAATATGTGCTCCAACGGCTTGTGGTCTGACTCGACAATGATCCTCTTGCCATAAATGTATGTATGGAAGCGTTTACATCCAAAAAGTACTGCGAAGAGCTCCTTCTCGATCTGTGCATAATTAACCTCGGTTGGGGTCAGTGTCTTTGAGGCATACGCTATTGGATGCTCATCTTGCATTAGTACTGCTCCCAAGCCGTACTTTGATGCATCGACCTGTAGGCGCAGCTCCTTGGTTGCATCGTGGTATGCTAGGATAGGACCTGGTTCTCTGGTTATGAGGTCCTTCATTTGTTGGAACACTCTGTCGTGGTTCTGATCCCAGATGAATTCAGAGTCTTGTTTGAGCAGCTGTCGCAGCGGTGCGTTCACCTCTGACAGTCCAGGTGCAAATCTAGACAGGTAGTTCACCATGCCGAGAATTGTCTCCAGTTTGTTTTTGTTCTCTGGGGGCGGCATGTCTTTTATAGCCTGAATTTTCTTTGGATCTGGTTTGATACCTTCCCGGGTGAGTCTGTGTCCAAAATAACTCACTTCAGTGGCACCAATGACACATTTTTCTGGGTTCAGGCGCACTCCTCGCTCCCTTGTGTGCTCTAACATGGCTCGTAGGTTTTCATCATGTTCCTCTTTTGTCCTGCCATACACCAGTATGTCGTCCACGATGGCTGCCACTCCGTTGAGTCCTTCATACGTCTCATCTATTTTTCTTTGGAAAATGTCCTGTGCAGATATTATTCCAAATGGAAGACGTAGAAAACGGTACCTGCTGAAGGTCGTGTTGAAGGTCGTCAGGAATGATGATTTCGTTGTGAGTTGGATGGCCCAATAGCCTGAACGTGCATCCATGACACTGAAGTACTGTGCTCCTGCCAGCTTTGGTGTGATGTCATCCAGTGTTGGAAGAGGGTAGTGAGGCCTTTGGATGGCTTTGTTTAACTCACGTGGGTCGAGGCACACTCTGAGTTTTCCATCACGCTTTTCTGCGATCACTAGACCATTTACCCATTCAGTGGGCTCTTTTACTTTGGCAATTATGCCGTTTTTTTCCATTCCATCCAACTCCTGTTTCAGTCGCTCACGCAATGTGAAAGGAATCCTCCGTGGGGGACACACCACAGGCGCTGCGTCTGGCTTGATGTGTATATCACATTCTCCTGGAAATTTTCCTATGCCTTTGAACACATCAGCAAACTCATCCATAATCAGAATCAGAATCAGAATGCCTTTATTGTCATTATACGCAGTACAATGAAATTAAGAGCCACTCCTTTTTCCAGTGCAAAAACACGCCTTAAGAAAACACACATTAAACACACTAAAAATATAAAAATTGTAACGCAATATAGATATAATAATGAAAGTAAAAAAATACAAGTATTTCACAATTGTATTGCACATCATGGATATTAGTGAGGTAGTTAAGGTGATTGAGAGTATGAAATGTCAGTAGTATTGCACAGTAGAAGTCCAGGTGTTTGGGAGGTTAGATTATTAAATCAGTGCATGTGTGAGTTCAGTGTGGTGATGGCTTTCGGGAAAAAACTGTTCTTGAACCTGTTTGTTCTTGTTCTGATGCACCTGTAGCGTTTCCCTGAAGGTAACAAGTCAAACAGTTCAAAACCCGGGTGTGAACAGTCCTTGATTATGCT